AAAGCCAAGAATGTTTAGAACCGAAGCAGTTGAAGCGCTATATGATAAAAAAGGACCTTAGAAAATAGTTATATCCATCTAAGGTAAAATTTATAATTTTAAAATTTATAAACGGACATGCAGTTTTAGAAAGGTTTGTTATATACATAAATCATGTTAGTTTCATGTTGTGTTTTTTAAGACTGTTGTTTTTCTTTCGCCGTTTTGTTTTATTTTTTGCCATTGCCTTGTCAGTTTGTATTTGACAGACGAATTTGAATATCCCTCAGTTCTCCTTCGCCTCTCAATCCAACTCGATTTCAAAATATTACTGAACTTAATTTGAAATGAACATTGATTTATGGCTCTGTTTTGAAATATGATATGCCATACTTATTACATACTTAATAGTCGTTAATAAGAAGTTTATGTTATCATATCCGTTTTGTTCAATTGAATTTCCTCATTCTATATTCTTAGCCGTTAGATCTATATTTTCTTTTCTCTCTTTGACATTACTATTTTTCCAGAACACCTTCAATATTTTACATATTATGAACATCATCTTCAGTGTTTATTACACTTATGGAAGTTTTAATTTGTACATATTTGCAATTTTTTGTTTCAATGAAACTTTACACGGTAAAATATAATGCAATAGTTATATTTTTATAATTTCTATTGGAAACAAAAGAATGGAAGTCAATATCCTTTGAAAACTGGTATTGCAAAAAAGGAATATCAAATTTAAGATCCATTTCCTTCTAATTCAAAAATGTTTTTGTTGAAGTAACTGTAAAATTCACTACTAACTACGACTTGTTTATTGGTGACAGTGTTAGATTTACTTGAATGTTTATTTCCATTTTTTAGAACAGTTGTGGTGTTTGTCTGTGGTGTATGTTTACAGTTTTTGCTGCTTGATCCAAAAAGTTAAATCACAAAAATACTGAACTTCGAGGAAAATTCAAAACGGAAAGTCCCTAATCAAATGGCAAAATCAAAAGCACAAACACATCAAACGAATGAACAACAACTGTCATATTCCTGACTTGGTACAGGCATTTTCTTATGTAGAAAATGGTGGATTGAACCTGGTTTTATAGCGCTAAACCTCTCGTATGACAGTCGTATCAAATTCCATTATATTGACAACGATGCGTGAATAAAACAAACAGACATAATAGGTTAAAATGTCAAAATAAGGGTACAGCAGTCAACACCGTGTCACAATCTTAATCACAACAAAAATATTGTATTTTATTGATGTTTGCCAGATCAACCTATAAAGGATCGAGGGATTTTAAGCAATGGGACCGAATCGTAATGTTAACATTAACTCTGGCGTAGAATCGCGTGTTTGACGTCAGAATGTAAACGTCACACAGGTAGAGATATGAAATAATTTTGTCGTTCAAAGTATGCAAAAATTATAATGGAACAATAACACAATGGCGGGATGTTTAAAGTACAGAGACACGTCATATGTTTCAAAGAAACATAAAAAGTCACACGGACAAAGGACACAAGTAAAAATGAAAAATAATACAAACAACACAATGACGGAATGCATAAGTACAGAGCCACGTCAAATGTATATCACCAAAAACAGACCAAACAGTAAAAGTAATATTAATAAAGACAAAACAAAGAACACTTTAACACGTTATTAAGATGATAAACAGCGTCAGTACGCAGAATCTTTACTTCAAGACCATCATGTATTATTTGTGAAGTTGATACGGAATATTTATCAACAAGGTCGAGACATTCTTTGACATACCCTTGGTTCATCAACTTTCTGCTCAGACACTGGTGACGTTTTACAAAGTCTGAGTAGGAGCTGCAATCTCTTGAATACCGAATAAGCTGGGAAATGTATATCCCATATGCAGGTGAAGTTGGTATATTGTTACTAAGGTGGGGGAAATTGATAATTTTAAAATTAAAATCGTCTCATTTGTCATATATTCTGGTACTAAGATGACTGTGCATGTCAAATTCGAGGTATAAGTCTAAAAATGAGGCGGAGGAAGCAGTGTCTGTTGTTTCTTTAATTTCTAGTTCTGGGGGATATATTAATGGAACCCAATCAGAAAAGTTCGGATTGTTAATGGAAAGAACATCATCAATATATCGAAAGTGAAATTAAATAACCTGGCTTCTTTGATCTTCTTGTTTTTGACAAGTGTCTGAAGGAACTCCGATTCATATGAAAATAAGAAGAGGTCGGCAAGGAGAGGCGCACAGTTCGTTCCCATAGGAATGCCGACAATTTGTTGAAAAAGTCTACCTCCAAATTCAACAAAAATGTTGTCGATAAGAAACTCCAGCATACTGATCACTTGTTCCTCTGTGTAGCATGTTTTACCCTTTTGTTCGCTATTAACAAAATATGCCTTATGGTATCCCAAAGTAATAAATGTATAGCGTATGCTACCACTTTTATGTTGAAAGGCATTGTGGATTATTTCTTTTAGGCGATTTTTCAATTTCACATGGGGAATGGTGGTATACAGGGTTGAAAAATCCAAATTATTCATTGTTATTGTCACATTCCATTTATGTCGGTTTGGGTTACCCACCATATTGTGTCAATATAATGGAACTACTAAACAACTGTTATACATGTGGGATGTTCAGCTATCTGTTAAACCAGGTTTAACCTACAGGTTACTTCGGAAATACCTGTACCAAGTAAGGAATATGAAAAATTGTTTTCCATTCGTTCCGTTGGTTGATAACGTTTGATTTTGTTAGTTTTGATGGACTTCCCCTTTTTGAATTTGAGTTCGGATTTTTGTTATACCTTTTTTCTATATATATGCAGCAACAACAAAAAAAAATTCATGTTTATTTTCCTTTAATAAATGTTACGAAAAGGGGAAACTAACTGAAATTCAACCCTTAAAGATAATCTCGCTTATTCATAACAATTTATCCATATTTTTTTTAATTAAAATCCAGAATCTGGATTCTCATGAAACACAAAACAAAAAAAGTATTCATTTATTTTCCGTAGAATGCTTATAGATGTTTATCAAAGACGAAACGTGCAGTAACAAATAATCGTAGGTTCGTTGGTTCAATTTTTGTGTCAAGTACAAAAAGTTAAGAATATGCTTTTGGGAGACAGTGGTCAATCGAACCAAAATGTACTTGAAAATCTCTTTTTTATTTTGACAAAATGGTCCTAGTGGAAAATAAGAAACACAATTAGATATGATGGGATAAAATGTACAAATATTTTGAATCTTTGGAAATCATACATGATAACTAATCGGAAATATTTACCCAGTTATTTATCTAATAATACAGTAGACGAAGAAAACAATATACACATTATATCAAATTATATATGATAACAAACCTTACAGGAGAGAACAGTCACGATGTAATGTGGTCTGCCTTTTATGTTTCTTTAATTTGTATAAGTAATCCAATGCTCAGAGATGCACTCGATTATGTTATATTTTTATATTATTTATTATTATTTTCTAGAAAGACGTTCTTTTTCATTTATTGTCACATAAAGAATATCTATCATCATTATACAATTTTTTTCTGATAATAAGGTGAAATCTTTTTTAGCCTCCTGCTTCCCGGGCAGTTGCTTAAATAGACCATTTTCATATTACCGAGTTTTGACTCCGGAATTTATATTTTTTCGACAGGTTACCTTCTCTGTTGTTGGACATCCTGGTACTCGGTCAAGCAAGAGCAACGTAAATAAGTTTTTAATCGGTACAATTTGATGGAAATTTTACTGTTTCATGCTTTCTATACATGACTAAATCATCAGAAAGCAATAAACTTTCACCCAAAATTGCACCGTTTATATATTTGATTTTACTTCTTTTGGTTGTTCGTAATTGACCGAGTACCAGGATTTCTTACCGCAGAGTAAGTAACCTGTCGAAAAAATATAGAACCCGGAGTCAAAAGTCGGTAATCTGAAAATAGACTTTTGTAAATGGGGATCCGTAGTCTGCGTCCTTGGCAACTGAGGAAATTTTAAACAGGAAATATTTGGATGTCTCTATTTAAAAACAAAAGTAAGCTATTATTTGTAACCGGAAGTAACATTAAGGTTACCAAGTAAGGTTGTCATGTTAAAACTGTAATGAGATCTTTTTTGAATATTGGAGTTCAGTATTTTTGTTATTCTCCTTTTTGTTTTTATCGGTTCTAACATTGATTCTGTAATCATCACTTAATATGTATTGCTATACAGTTATTACGCTTACGTGAATTTTTTCTGTCGATACTTATAGTTTGGCATTGTACAGGGTCATGCTTTTCTCAGACTCAAGTTCTCATTGATTCATATTTTTTTTCTAGATACACTTTGTCAATAGTTGTAATTAGCTCCTAGTAAAACTGAAAAACACTGTGTTATGAAATAGAAATGATTTGCACATTGACTGAAAATTTAAAAAAAAAAGATTATTGAAGGAATAGCATATCATCACGTCATTTTTAAATTAATTAATTTGGTTAAACAGTAAACAGTAGTTGTTTTTTTTTCAATTGTCGGTGTTTATTAACCATTGAAAAATGGCATCGCTCTTATTTATACAAATCTTGTACAGTCATGCCTAATTCATAAACATATACTTGCACTCGAAGCGGAATTTTGAATACGTTATTTTGTAGATGGAGTGCTAAACAACTAAATTACTTCAATTTTACACTTGGATTACAATCATCTTAATGACCTCATATTTCCAAAGACCATGTCCTCTTAGTTGTGTTTTTTTTTTTTGATATATTATATTTTATACAAAGATGGTAATTGCACCCAAAGTATAGAAAAGGAGAATTTAAATATTATCATCTCTAGTATCAACGCTTTATGTTGTTATATTACCAAAAGCGCACAGTTTGTGTTATTTAAAAAATTGCAAATTGCGTACTACAGCGTGTATACATTAGTAAACATAGTGTTATCATTACAGTTCCCGTTGACAACAACGATGCTTTGTTTAACAATGTTGAAAATTTGTTTTGTTCTTTTTCAGTTGATTTACAAAATGACTGAAGTAGACGGGAATTTTGATAATTTTGATAGTCTAGAAGAAACATCTGATTTCCACTTTATAGATCCAGTTTCTTTACCAACAGGAAAAGACTACCACATTTTTATAGCTTACACTCACGTCGATAGTTCTTTTGTACTGAGGCTAGACAAACTGCTACAGAACAAAGGTTTTAAATGTTGCATCCACGAAAGAGATTTCATACCAGGAATGTTAATTACAGAGAACATAGTAAACCATGTTAAACGATCGGTTAAATTTGTGTTTATGCTATCCAAAACCACCAGAGGTAATGAATGGATGCAATTTGAGTTTGATGTTGCAGAAAATTTACAAATTCAAGATAAAGGATACAAGCCAATCATCTTAAAGCTAGATAATTGTGACCTTCCAGATTATATGAAACGCTATACTTACCTGCAAACAGATGGTCCTGTTGGTAAATGGATTGGTTTACTATTGAGAGCAATTACTGACCAAACAGGTAAACTGGCTTTAAATTGACTTTGACAGTTAATAGCCTTAAATACCTCCGTACTTTAAGATCAGTCTATGTCTAACATCTCTTATAATTATACCACACTGAATTGCGACTTCAATTTTAAATCACAAAATCTTGTTAACGAAATCAAGTCTAAACCGTCTGATTGCACATGCATTAGTTCCATGAACTGAAATATCCAAATCTTACATTCCGAAAAAGTGCTAACTTTGCATGAAAGGTAGAAAAACCTTGTTGTTTTTGGATAATTGAATGAAATTGAGAATGGAAATGGGGAATTGTCAGAAAGACAACAACCCGACCAAAGAGCAAAAAAACAGCACAAGGCCACCAGTGGGTCTTCAACACAGCGACAAAATCTGCACACCGAGGCGGGCTTCGGATGGCCCCTAAACAAACATGTATACTAGTTCAGCGAAAATGGACGTCACACTTAACTCTGAAACATACAAATGAACCAAATTTAACAAAAAACCTACAAAACTAGCAAAGGACATAGGCTCCTCATTTGGGACAGGCGCAAAAATGCGGCGGGGTTAAATATGTTTTGTGAGATCTAAACTCTCCACCTATACTCTAACTTATTTGGAATACACAAACACACAGCAAAATACACAGTAAAACTCAGTATTAAATAAGTCTGAGTCCAATAGCGTCCCTTTAATAACAAACTCGTTCCTATGCTGTTATACTAGTATGGTATTGAGAGTTATATTTATTTTTTGAGTCGGGGAGTATTTAAAGCTTGACAGTTTGTATGTACTACAGTCTTGACTATGCTGAAGACGGTTAACTGCAGATTTATTCAGGATATTTGATTTATGGCCTTTGGGTTTTGTCTTATTGACAAACGCCCCTTCATTTACTTTCCATAAATATCTTTTAGCATTATTAGAAATTATGCCACACTAACCAATGGCTTATTAGCCCTATTTGACAAAATTGACTAAAATCCAGTGTTAAACAGAGAATAAAAGGAAACAAATAGACTAAAATGAAAACAAAATATTTAAGGGGTATCCATGCCTACAGCACATTGTAATAATCAATTAGTTTTGCGAAAATTTATTTGTTTCAAATTGGATCATGAAAATGACTTGCTTTGCACTGATAAATAAATTTATATTTCTTATTATTTAAATAAGACAGCGACCAAACATAATTCGTTGTGGGTATTTTTTCCAAATTTTCAGATGAAACACATTATTTTTTTAAATTTTCAATTCCCTTCTTAACAAAAAAATCGGTGCCTCATTTGTTTGATTGAAGATCAACTGTATAGAATTAAATTATAAACAATGACTGTAAGATTTTGATCAATCTTGCTCACTTATTTTATTCACATAAAATTATGTTTTTGTGGTATTTTCCTAATAGTGAGATGATGCAATTATCCACAACTGCAAGTTATGAATAAACATGTTTATGGATTACAGCTTATTAGTTAAAAACAAATTTACCTTTACCTGTACAGAGAGTTTCAATCAAAATATATTCGGTGTAATTAGACAGGTATATCATGTTATGAAGGGGTATTTGCGAAAAAAAAAAACAGTCTCGGGACTAGCGGCTCGGGAATTTCACAGTCCCTTGACTGGTATCTTTTTGCAAATACCCCTCCATAAAATGATATATCTGTTCAATATTATTTATTTTGTATATTCTAACTAATCTTATTCGTTCAGACAAAATCACATGTCCAACTGTATTTTCAAAGTGATACTGCACAGTTTCTTTTAAAATATCTAAATATAAAAGTTTAAAAACCTCAATACTTAGTGACGCTATCGTGACAGTCAATCAAATGATTTTCTGCTCTATTTCCGTCGTATTAAAAATGATAGTAAAACAATTGAAATAACTTTGTCTTCATCTGACATACTTATTTCATGTGTCGACTCGTACAAAGGCTATAATTGTATGCTATTAACCAATGTTCAATGTTTACAGATACCTAAAAACAAGCGTGGATTTTTTTTTTTGGTTATTTGTGTTGCTGAGTTGTTATTTCATTCATTTATATCCAATTAAAACAATTCTAGACACAATGTATCAAGCTATATATACTTACTAGGATCTCACAAATACTGCAGCTTTCAATTATATTTGTTTTATATGATTACAATAAACCTATTAGGAATGATTATTTCTGATTTTTATCTCCTTTTTGTTGTCTTTAACTACAATATCCAACCAACAGTACCTACCTTCGCTAGTATTCTGTAGTATTTGTGAGAACATTTCGATTTCTTTTTTTTTCTAAAAAGGCATATTATAAGTAGCTTGTCAAGTTTTAAATTTTTCAGAGTCGAACAACCATTTCCTGGATTTTAGTATAAACGACATCGAGCGTTTTAGACAACTGGTTGAAAAAGGAAGTGAGCAAAGACATTATGTACGAATTGTTGTTGTTGGAGAACAAGGGGCTGGAAAAAGTTGTTTTGTCCATAGACTACTAGATAAAGAAATAAAAGATGTTGTATCAACGGATTGCTTAGATATACAGATTAATGTTTGTGGAGTGGATTTGGATACCGAAGAATGGTGTTTCATTAATGGTATTTGCTCCTTTATATATCATGACAAGACTACCCACATAAACATGTTCTAATAAGTGAAATATTTTATCTTATTAATATGCATCTCTAGAGTGTTGCTTCATCTGTAGAAATATTGCAAAATAAGAGACGTGGGGGTGCTAATTAATTTAAGACTTATAGACTGTTTAATAAGATATCTTATTTAATATATAAAATATCTTATTTGATTTATAAGATATCTTATTTAATTTATAAGATATCTCAATAACTTATAAGATATCTCAATAACTTATAAGATATCTCAATAACTTCTCAGATATCTTATTTAGATTTAAATATATCTTATTTAGATTTAAATATATCTTATTTAGATTTAAATATATCTTATTTAGATTTAAATATATCTTATTTAGATTTAAATATATCTTATTTAGATTTAATGATATCTTTTTAACTTTATAAGATATCTTGAAAATGGAATGAATATAAAAACGGCTTGTCAAACATAGCGATGAAAAAATATGGAAAATCAAGTAGATAGAGAGAGTGAAACGCTTTCCATACATTAAGTTTTCAGACTCTTTCGAATATTCTTTATCATGATACAAATTCCTTTAATCAATTTTTTTTTGTACTAAGTTTTCGGGACAACAATCTGTTATTTGTCATTGGAACTTTCAATAAACAAATATCGTTTTTATGTAAATTAAGGATTGAAATGTTACATTTATTGTAAAAACAAAAGGATTATTCTTTTAAAGATTTTACTTTGTTTAACCATTCTACGAATAGGTCGTCTCGAATTTTGTGCGGTCTTCAGAATGTGTTCACATTGATTTATTTTATAGGAATTAGAATGAGACCCGTTAGAACTTGCCAAATAGCTTAAATTCAAACGTCTTAATCCTTGCTGCATATTAATCGATTTTTGTCGATATTTGTTTTCGGAACTTCTTGCATGTATATTTGGAGGATTGGCGTATTCCAATTATGATCACAGTTGTTTCCCTGTCTTTCAGATGATTAATGTAGTCGAGCGTTTGGTTTTGTTCTATGGACTTCCATTTTTTAACTTACCTTGGAGTTCGGTATTTTTGTAATATTTTTTTCATACAACCAGTAAAATATTGAATTGAGGTTGGTTTTGGAGGAATCTACTCCTGTATCGACACTTCAAACAAATTGTATATTAAACTCCTATACTCTGCCGTTCTCATCGTCCGATATATTAAAAGGGAATGATAACATAATATTGTAATTACTACTTACGCAGACTTTCAGCCATCTAACTTTACTCAGTAGTCAAGTGTACAAAACACCAAATCCAGTATTTTGATTGGTTGATTTCTGAGTCTGAGTACAATATTCGTACTCGAACGTTTTATGTCTATAAGCCAATGTGTTCTTGTAATTTTATTAATTACTGTTCGCCTTTAGATTTTAAACTGATATACAGTGTTATTGGCCTTACTTTAAGGGTTCAGCTACTGTTTTAGAACTCTATACTTTTTTATCGTGTGCTTTCGATTTGTATTATGCTCTTTATGACAACTTTATTTGGTAATAGTATATAGAATAATTGCAAGATATTCATGTATGTCCGTCACACAAAGTTTACTTTACTTAGATCGCATTTCATTGACCAGTGATCATTGTTAAGCGTTCAGTGATCATCAACTTATTGCACAATTTTGCAGTTACTTAAATCTAATCCTGATGCAAAGCAAACATATACAACGGTGCGACGTAGAAAAAAAAAATCATTTTTGTGCTCCTTTATATTGAAGTTTTATAAATGTCACCAGCCACAATATAGATGTAAATTCATATTGGGAATTGCATTCCGTGTGTGCAACGATCCTATCCTATCATTTAATAAAAAAAGTCAGTACTACTGGCCTGCTGGCACCTAAACAATAGTATACTTATTCAGTGAAATGGATACCACACAAACACCAAAACAGACAAATGAACCAAAATTGAAAAAAAACACATGACTAACAAAGACTATAGGTTCCTTACTTGGGACAGGCACAAACATGCGGCGGGCTTAAACATGATTATACCTCTAACTAATTTGGAATAAACAAACACACAGCTAAACGCACAGTTAAAACCAGTTTAAAAGAAGTTCAAATTGATGTGAGAATAGGTAACAAGAGATAAAAAGTGAAATGACAATGACCAACATAAATTAGCTACAACTAGCAGTTACTGAAATGCCAGCTCTAAGCCTAAATTAAACTGATCGAAAGAATATGTTTTCATCATATGAAAATAAACCATAACCCTCCCTTTGGCGTTTAGTATCATGTCATCATAAATTTTACAAGAAGAACATAACCCGTATCATGCAACCAACTGGTTTTAGAGTAAATGTGTTTATTTCCGATGATATGACCCTGTGAGTCAATCAATATTAGTTTTAAAAAAACATCTTTAATGATTAGAAACCAGTATCGTAACTATATTCCTTCTGAATAAGTCTATTAATTAACAAAAAGAAGTTCTCGCTTCAAGTTTAACAGGTGATCTTATACTATACTTTCTTCTAAAAACTAGGTTAAGAATATTAAAAAGATAAAACAACACGTTATAAATCTAATGCGGCCGAAGCGCTTTTCTGGATTTACCTTCACCTGGAACGCTCAAAGCCAAATATGTGAAATCCAAGTATGTATAAGAATAGCCAAATGTATAGAAAATAGCCAAATCCAATGAAGGTTAACTTTGCCTCAGGGAGTTGAAACCTCAGTTTCTTTATAATTTCAAAATTTATAAACGAACAATTTTAGAAATGTTTGTTATAATTCATGTCAATACTGAATTACTGACTACAGAGCTGATGATACCCTCGGGGACTGATAGTCCAACAGCAGAGGTATCGACCCAGTGCTGTAAAAAATGAAAACAACGCGTTATAAATTTTATGCGTCCGAAGCGCTTTTCTGGATTTATCTTCATTAGGAACGCTCAAAGCCGAATATTTAAAAGCCAAGGATGTATAAGAACCAAAACAGTTGAAGAGCTATTTAACCAAAAGTACATAGAAATTGCCAAATACATCTTTGGTCAAGGTCAACTTTGTCTGAGGGATTTGAAACCTCAGTTTCATTATTATTTCAAAATTTATAATCAAACAATTTAAGAAATGTTTGTTATAAAATGTCAGTACCGGAGTACTGACTACTGAGCTGATGATACCCCAGGGACTAATAGTCCACCGGTAGAGTATCGACCAAGTGATGCATTCTAATATATGTGTCCTTGTCTCATGTCGTTATTAATTTCCAAAATGGGCCTCACGATCTGGCTATCTTCAATCAACGCTTTCGTTCACTCGCTTCGTTCACGGATTAAGTACATTTAACACTAGTCTTGTTTACCGTAGAAATGTTGTTTCTATGATTGCCGTTGGTTGGCATAATTCCTCGGTTACAAGTCAGTATCCATAGTATACTAATAATGTTCTAAAATAAATTTACTACTACTTTATTCAAAGATCGCCTTTGTTTTTAAAGGGTATAACAATTTGTTCTAATCTAGATACTATTTTAGAGAAAACTAAAACTTGTAACATATACATACTCCTTTAATAACAAAAACGTGTATTTAATCTGCTCTTGCAGATGAGTAGGCAAAATAACCACCGCAAGTATTTTTCTGACAATGACATATGCACGGTATAACAAACTTTTCGAAATACTTAGAATTTTCAACCCCAGGAAAAAATTACCTTATCTGTATATAGTAATACCTTCCGAAATTTTATGTCCTCAATTCTCTTTAATTTCGTACTTTTTTTATTCGAGCGTCACTGATAAGTCTTTTGTAGACAAAACACGCGTCTGGTGTACACAATTTTAAGCCTTGTATCTATGATGAGTTTATTATTAAAGAAATTTGTAACATTATTTTTCAGAAGATAATTTCAGTGGAACAACACGCCTTGGACAAAATCTTAAAAATGTAAAGCCTAACACGGATTCTGAGGAAGTATTGTACAGAAGGAAAGAAACATCAAACACAGATACTCAAACTATCTGCAAAGTAACAAGGGCAGATATATCAGACAACAGGAATTCTTCTGCAGAAGGGATATCAAGAGTTGAAAATGATTTGTATTGGAAAGAGAGTCTTTCTCAGGTAAATGATGTCAAGCCTTTCAACAGACGTCTGGCTTGCGTTTCCTTTTGGGATTTCGCAGGACATACTGAGTATTATCCAACACATCAACTATTCCTGTCACGTACATGCATCGTTTTGCTAGTAACAGATATTACAAAGAAAATAGGGGACCTCTCAAGAAAGAATTTGAGTGGGCACTTTATGGATGTATTAGAACAGCCAATGGAGAATGTTGCAGGTATGCAATTGAATAATATACGAAGTTAAGTTGTTTTACAGGTTTATTTGAACCTTTAAAAAATTCATTGAATTATAGGATAAAATAGCAATGGACCAATTCAAAAATGGTGTTGCTTAATGTGGTTTTGACGTTGTGATTCGCTAAGACGTTATTACGAGAACATTGAGATGAATTTCACGAGATTCGAAGTTCAATTTTATAATTTATATGTTGAATATTTTTTAGTATCTAGTTTATGCAGGCAATATATGTCGTTAATTCAAAATCAGGTATATATAATAATACAAAGGAATCCTTTGGTACAAAAATGTTTTTAGAATTCCATTTTGTATCATATTTTTACACATGTATCTAATATGAAACGTAAAGACTAAAAAATAGAGCCTGACATGAATGCTAGATTCAATAAATTGTTCTCTGTACAAGACTGTATGCTTTGGACATGATATTCGACGACAACGACTTACAATCAGTTGCATCTAACAATGTTAAGAAAGACAGACATTTCTTTGATTCCGAATATTTTATTTTGATTAAGCAAAGCTATAAAAGATTCTGTAAAGTATGAAAACAAGTGACAAATTAGTATCCCTTTCAATCTGAGATTTTCACTAATCGGCACATTCTTCAAAAGGCGCCAGGGATTACAATTTTGCTATAAAAGACAAGCAAAAGTTGCTAAATAGACACACAAACTCATAATTCGAAAATAAAATGACAACGCCAAGGGAAAAAAAGAAGAAAAAAACCAAAAGACAAACAACAGTACACAAAACACGACATAGAAAACTAATTTCGATCAATACGAACCCCACCAAAATCCAGGGGTGATCTCTGGTGCTTCGAAAAGGTAGGCAGATCCTGCTCCACATGTGGCACCCTTCGTGTTCCTCGTACAAACACGGTGATGAGGCTAATTCGGTAGGTCTGATTCGGGGACAATAAAAGAAAAACATATTTACCATAACATTTTAAAATGTTCCTTTATAAATCTAACAAAAGACGAGAACGGTAATGTCAGAGTTTCGTGTAAAACAAAGAAACAATGTTGTTATGTACAAACCTAGGTCAGGAAAATCTACTTAAACGACTGGGACACATCAAAGGTTCTTATAATTCAAACAAAATCAGCAAATTAAAGAGAGTATCATTCGGACGTTGACATTTAATGTGTCCTTACAAACAACGTTAAATAGTTGTGTCTTCCAAGTGCTACACGAAACCTCTTTCTAAATTAAAATTTTTAACATAAATTTTATCAGCAATCAAAAACGGGCTTCAAAGTTATTGTGAAACTACCTATTCTAGAGATGGCGAGAATCAAATGAGGATATCAAAAAATTCCGAAGATCTTTCAGAGTACAAACAATCTAAGACTCTTTCATCTTGCAATAGTATTTAAAACATTTGACTGTTCTACACTTTACACACGTATTCACCATTTCAAGGTAACAGACAAACTGAAAGAGTTGGTCTTGCTATTTTTCATAAGGAGGATGAGTCGTAATTTGTAAAAATCAATCTGAGGACGTGTTTTTCAACAAACAATCGGCATTCCCATTGGAATCAACTGTGCTCCTCTTCTTGCCGACTTGTTCCGTTATTCATATGAGGATGACTTCCTACAGGAACTTCTTAGGAAGGAAGAAAAGAAGTTAGCAGTATCCTTTAACTTCACTTTCCGCTATATAGACGATGTTCTCTCACTAAATAGTTCAAAATTTATTGACTTTGTTGAACGCATCTATCCCATCGAATTTAAGATAAAGGATACAACAGATACAGTTAAGTCTGCTTCATATCTGGACTTACGTCTTGAAATTGACAATGAGGGTCAAATGAAAACAAAACTTTACGACAAAAGAGATTATTTCAGCTTCCCAATCATTAACTTTCATTTCTATGTAGCAACATTCCAGCAGCGCCTGCATACCGAATATATATCTCCTAGTTGATACAATATTCTTGGGCTTGTATTTCCTATCATGGTTTCCTTGATAGAGGTTTTCTGCTCACACGGAAGCTATTAGACCAAGAGGTCTAAGTGATGAAGTTGAAATCTGCGTTATTTTGACGGGTGCCATCACGAGTTGGTTGACCGTTATGGAATATCTGTTTCACAGATTACAACATATATGTTCCAATTGTTGTAACTACTATCCAGTCCCCTTTTAACCGAATGTGACCTACCGAATTAGACTTATAGCCGGATTTGTACTAACATGAGCAACACGATGGGTGCCACATGTGGAGCAGAATCTGTATAACCTTTCGGAGCACCTGAGATCACCCCCAGTTCTTGGTGGGGGTCGTGTTGGTCAGTCTTTAGTTTTCTATGTTGTGTTCTGTGTACTGTTGTTTGTCTGTTTGTCTTTTTCTTTTTTAGCCATGACGTTGACAGTTTGTTTTTTCGACTTATGAGTTTAAATGTCCTTTTGGTATCTTTCACCTCTCTTTTAATGCCAATACATTAAAAAAAAATGCATATGCATATGCAAAAATATTGAAAACTCTATACAATAATTGTTTGAAATCTAATGTAACTAGTAATGGATGATTGGTTTTGAAATCCATTTTTGTTCAATATCATTAAAGTCAAAAACAGACAACATTTTTATTTTGAACGTTCATGTAGCAGTGAGTTGACCTGTCTGCTCGAAAAGCAGTTCTCTTATAATCAATAGATGTCCAAACAATCATACTATGCTTAGGATTATGAGAAACCTTAGAGCCTGTACCAAAAGAGAGACGAATGATGCCATGGCCAAAAGAACAGTCATCGATACATTTGTATGACAGTTCAGACTAGGATAATAAGACACAAAATGAATAAACAATCAGCAAATGATTCTATAAACAGGGGATGCTTACTCTGTCAACGCATCTGGTCCTCTGCTTTGCATGTATGCGATTCCCTCAGATTTTTTTTTATCTTGGTTGGTATATTAAAAATTGATATTGAACCTTTGTTGCCAAGTATTCTTATTTTATTACAGGATATATAGACTACTGGAGCAGTTGCATCCATACGTTTGGTTACACATGCCCTGGAAGCGAGCTTAATCCTCCGATTATAGTTATAACTACACACACTGATGCAATACAAGTACGCATATTTAGTCGAAAGGGAAGAGTAACTGTTATTAAAAAATATTGAAATATATTTCATGCCTTATATTAAAAAAAGGATGTGGTATGATTGCCAATGAGACAACTTTCAATCAGAGACAAAATGACGCAGAACTTAGCAATACTATATGTCACCGTACGGTTTATTTTAGATAGAGGAAAATTTGAAGATAAAAGATATATACGAATTCGTGAAACAAACTATTTTGAAAAAATATATTTTAAGTATATGAAGCACATATTTTCTTCATGAGGTCATAATATATGAAATAAATATAGAACAGTCGGACTATTTTTTTATTTATTCCGCGTTCTATTACACTCATCAAATTGAACACTGGAAAAATTGGATGCATATCTATAGACCAACTGCACAAGTTAATAAGTAAACGAAAATAAACATCTAGATGCCATAACTAAGCCTTCTTAGATGGACAAGTGTTCATATCGTATTAACAAGCTATATAAAAAAACAGCAACACCTGTGGGCGTAGCAAACAATCTGTTATTGTACTCAACTTTTCTCCTTTTTATTCGATGAATGAAATGAGGAAAGATACGAAAAATTAAAAACGCAAAATTAAAAACAAAAGCAAACATTAATGTCACTTCCTATAGCCATGAGCCTTGAAAGTGGTGATATTCAATATTGTTTTTCCTCAAGGAATAAGGTTGTGATACCGATTTTTTATAGTCCTCTTAAATTTCTTCCAAACCTGTCTAGATCTAAGACATAAACAAATGTTTACTGTTGGAGAAGTTGACTCGCAGATTTCTTTTTTGGTGGTTTTTGTTGTATTATTTGTTTTTGGCTGTTCAGTCATTGGCATTTTCCCCACAAACATCCTTTTAACATATACAAACTCCATACTGTGGATTCATTTTTATACGTGGGTTACCAATTTTCGTGAATTAGTGGGTAAAGGTGAACCACTAATTCAAATGTTCAAAGAAGTACAAATGTTCTATATGTTGTATGCAGACTTTGGCAAAACCACGAAATCAAATATACACGAAAATAAAATTTTTCCACAATCAACCAAAATTAACTAATCGAACAGTATTTTGTTATATAAAAAGATAGACATTTGCAACATCTCTTTTTTTAGTTACAAAAAATAATATTGGCTGACAAGTTTAAGCAAGATATTGAATATAAGTAATTAATTAATTTATACAGACAGGTGTAATCTTTAATTAGAAACCTTAATAACTTATTGTGATATACACCTTGTTTTGTATAACTTTGTGACTACATTTTGTTACCTTCATAGGATACAAAAATAAGGCAGATGTGGTATAACTGCCAATGAGTAACTCTCCACAAGACACCAAATGACATAGAAATTATAGGTCACCGTACAGCCCTCAACAATGAGGAAACCCATACCACATAGTCAGCTATAAAGGCACTGAAATGAAAATTCAAACGAGAAAACAAACGGCCTGATTTATGTAAAAAAAAATGAACGAAACACAAATATGATATACAGCAACAAACGACAACCACTGAATTACAGGCTCCTGACTTTGGACAGACGCATACAGAATGTTGCGGGGTTAAACATGAAAGAAAGCCTTCCAGTTCACGATGTTTTATCGATATTGTCAACATAGCGGTTTCTTCTGTATCGTGTCATTATTGTGTTTACGTTGTATTGTGTTTATACCTTGTGATTACATTGTTTTCATAATATACATTGCGTGGTTAACAATAGCTAGTCAATATCGTGTTTATATTGTATACCAAGTTTATACCTTTTTGTTTACATCGTTAACATCATAAACATCGCGAAGTTGAATATAGCGAGTCAATATCGAGTTTAAATTCTGTACCAAGTCTCTACCTTTGTGTTTACATCGACATCGCGATGTTGACAATAGTGTGTCAAAATTGTTTATATTGTTATACACTACAAACTGCTCAGATTCTGAAAAGACCATATTCTGTGCTCGACCAGTAAGGTCGACCACAGATTTTACTTCACAAGAATCGACATAATCTCGACAGTACTTAACTGTACTTTGGTCTCGACTTTACTTAATAAGTATAATTGAGTGCTTGATAATCTTGGTATAGTCTGAATGTGGTCTCGACAAATGCTCGACCAGTCTCGACCAATCTCGACCTTTCTCGACTCAGTCCTGACCTTTAAATTTAGTCTCAAGTGGTCTGAATCAGCCCATCTAACTGGTTTATATATCGATTTTACAAAATATTAGGTTATTTTGTAGTTTGGTTTATTGCTGTCAAATTAAAGGATTCAATTAATAGGTAAAAAGAAGCTAGAATTTTCAGTTCTGATTAAATTCAGATAGTCACCTTTAATTATTTCTATAATTTTTTCAAATCAACTTGGATTTTCATAAAACTTTGCAGCTATCTCAATTATATATTGATCTTATAGAAAGCCAGGTTGTTTGGTAGTTTTGTTTACTGCTGTCAAATTAAAGGATTTAATTAATAGGTAAAAAAAAGCTAGAATTTTCAGTTTGGACTAAATTCAGATAGCCACCTTTAAATTTTTTTTATAACTTTTTCAAATCAACTTGGATTTTCATCAATATCTACAGCTAGCGCAATTATATATTGATCTTACAAAATTCCAGGTTATTTGGTAGTTTGGTTCATTGCTGTCAATTTGACAGCAATACACAAAACTACCAAACAACGTGGCATTCTGTAAGACCGAGTTTATACCTTTGTGTTTACATCGTCAACATCGCGATGTAAACACGATATCGTTACCGTATTGTATACATCGACATGTTAAAGATGTCAACGATTTAAACAGTATATACTATGTTGACACGATATTGTGTTATCATTGCTTATATCGCGATGTCGACAATAGCGGGTCAACATCGTATTCATATTGTAACCAAGGCTATACCTTTGTGTTTACATCGTTCACATCGTCAACACAACATCGTTACTACTACATTGTATACATCACAATGTTTCCGATGTCAACAATATATAAGAGTTCTTACAATGTTGACGATGTTAACAAGATGTCGTGTTAACATTGCTAATATCGCGATGTGGACAATACTGCTTTTACATTGTGCACCGGACATGCATGTAAACATGTTAGCGGGCACCAACCCTCCCCTTAATCCTGTTACAGTGGTGCAACAGGACAACGCAAGAACTGTACAAAACAATAAAAAAACATAACACATGAAAGACAATACCAAGCAACAACCACTCAATTACAGGCTCCTGACTTGAGACAGTCACAGATAGAATACAAAGTAGAAAAACATGAAACAAAACCACCGACCGGACGGAGCAGGATATTTATACATCCTCACAACAAAAAAGACCCTAAATTCAGATCTGAGAGTACTCGCAGTTACTAAAAGCTAGTTCAAAGCCATTAACAACTTATAAAAATATCATGTATTTAAGACTAAAGTGTTTATTATTCTATATTTACCTCATGTTACACATTTATGTGTCTAAGCGTTGCTTTATGATAAATCTTGAAATCTTGAAAAACTCTTGATTTTTCCATATTGTTTATTTCAAGGATAACCTAGATTATGCAAAATCAAATTACAAGGAGGATCTGAACAACGTGGTACAGAGGGATGAAAAAAGAAGACATTTTCGTAGACATTTCTTTCTATCTAATACTGATGAGCGGAATTACAGTAAAGAAATTCCAAGCATTAGAAAGTACATCTACGATATTTCAACACAACAAGAAAACTGGGGTGTAGAAGTGCCTTTGAAATGGATTCCTTTAGAGAATGAACTTATCAAGCATAGAAAAATGGGTAAAAATATATTATCGTTTCAAAGCATTAAGGAAATAAGTGACGAAAGTCATCGTCTTATAGCAGATGAAGATGAATTTAAAATGTTTTTGAAATTTCACCATGATCTTGGAACAGTAATTTATTTTGACGATGTACCTGATTTTATAATCATCAATCCTAACTGGTTTGTCAAAGCTCTCCGATGTATTGTTTCAGCAAGAGACTTTATTTCAGAAAATTTACAATTAAATTGGAAGGAATACGAGGAATCTGGATACATAGGTATGGAAATGATACATACAATATTCCAGCAAAAGGACCCGGAATTAGCACACAATCAAGAACATATCATTCGCTTAATGGAAAAATACGATATTGTCGTGGAAATACCAAATGTTGTTCGTCAGAAAGAACGTGAAAAGCAGTATTGTGTTCCTTGCATAGTAAAAGCATCTGCAATTGAAATAATGACCAATTATTTTGTTGGGCAAGAAAAAACATCTATTCTTTGTTTTGAATATGAATTTTTACCACCTATGTTTTTTTGTCACCTTGTTGTTTATCTACTTCGTACGTACAATTTAAGTAACGAAAGTCCATCATCATCCAAAAAAGCGTTATACCGAGGTGCATGCGTGTTTGACATCGATTTCACCGGCCGCGAAAAGTTATTCCTTTGCAAATACCAAAATACTATCCAAGTGCAAATCTGGAGATGGAACTCAGCTATAACCGGTTCAGGACAAAGAATACGCATTGATATTGAAGATGAATTAAATTGCATACAAAGAAAATACAGATTAGACTCTTTGAAAAACTACACACTGAAAGTGAAATGCCAATTTAGTGAAAGTACAAGTCTGGAAGGCATGGCTGAACTAGGCCCCTTAGTCAACACAGAGACAAACTTCTATTGTAATGTTCATGGATGCACTCATTCCACAGAAAACATCCGAAGAACATGGGCCTTTAACCGAGGAGCGGTAATGTTTTTATTTAGAATTTGCATTACGATCGTTTCACCTTACTGAGGTAGTTCATAATTATTATATATATTCAGTGGAAAATTTAAAAACATTTTAAAATTGTTACATTGCTTGCACCATTTTTATAAACTTTTTAAATCAAATTTAAATACAATCAGTTAAATTTTAAAAACAAATTTAAAACATGAGTATGTACTACAGATTTCAGCGGATTTGTTGCCTTAATCTTAGATTGTTTTATGAATCATTAACATTTTGAAAACATCTAAACCATGAGTAGCTGTACCACAAGTGTGAGATGCATCTCTTTAATTTCTAGATCTATATTCAGATAAGAATCCCATTAGCTTACCGATGTTCCAACTAATAAATCCATAATGAAGATACACATCAAGGTACAAAAAAGAGAGAATCGCACCCTGTATTTAAGTTTAGTTACTGGAACTAATTAAATGATTATAATCAAGTTTTACTGTTTATCAATCTACACTTGATATATAAGCAGTTTGCCAAGGCATATCAAAATCCTATATTTGGTTTTGGAAAGGATCATAACTATAAAGGATCAAAAAGCTAATTAAGTTCTTGTTTATAATGCCTAATTTTTGAATATTTTAGGAAGAAATATCAAAGTTAACAGACGAAAATATGAACTTCTTACGGATTCAAAAAATTTCGACGGAATTGATGTGTGATATTTTATATGAATTGCTGCTTCATGATAACTATCTAGGACTAAAACCAAGAAATGAAAGTGATGTTACCGATTTATATAGCAAAATTAGAGGACATAAGCTGAGAGTTCCATCTAATGGATGGGGAGGTAAGCTATGGCCTAACGAATCAATACATACGAAACCTGGGGATGATATCGAGAGAATACGGTTGACCAGAAATAGGCTACAGCATTCCAGTCAGTTCCAAATGACTGACAGTGAATACAACGAAAGGATACAGCAACTTACTAGACTGACTGAACGATTTGAATTTTTGTTAAACCCAAGGGAATCCTACATTGCTCGACTTAACAAAATACGAACAACTGAATTGAGGGATAATGATTTAGCCATGTGTATAAATGTACTGATGAAAGGTAGGTTTTTCAAAATGAAAAATGCCACATCTAAAAGACCTTCATTAGAGGAACGTTAACAAAAATAGTTGGGGATGTATAAATACTTCGGAGCTAAAAGAAAATCATATGTTCCATGAAAACAAGCAGTCTGTTCATCTGCACGATGTCGCATAGATGAGAAATAAGTGTAAAAATAACATGTCTATATATGTTATTGAAGACATATATATTGTAACACTTAGAATCGTGTCCTTCCCCTTAAACGTGTCAAATCCACCAAATGCGTTCATACGACGTCACTGTATGTCCTACAATTTATATATTAGGCACAAAAACGTGTCCTTATACTCATATTGTGACACCTCTAAGGAAGACAATTCAGATATTGTGTCCATGTTTTTTTAATCATGGTCTGAAAGCATGGGCTGATCGGAAGTACTTGCACGTTATTGTCTGTGTTCATTTCTAAACAAAAACCTGTATCCCTTTTATCCAGTGTCTACAAGTCAGATTAAATAGGATTAGAAGATGATTGCCAATGAGACAACTATCCAACAGAGTCCAAATGATATAATCATGGACAAAAGACATAAAGAACCGATCTAAGAGTACTCACAGTTGATGAAAGCCATTTCAAAGCCAATAAAACATAATAAATAAATTATGGTTTTTAAGACTCAAGTATTCATCCATAAACTTACTTTATATATATATTAATTTCATTAGAACTAATTTCCTAATGCTTGTAGATTAAGACTTTGGTTGGCTTGCTTGCTTGGTTTGTATTAATTTTTGCTCAAGCATTGTAATTAAGATTGACATCTGAAAACAATATAAATAGGCGGAGTTAAACTTGTATACATTATATTTAGATTTGATTGGACATTATCAAATAATCAAATTTACCTATATACAGGTACTCCGCCTAATTATATTGTTTGCAGAAGTCAATCTTAATTACAATGCTTGAGCAAACATTAATACAAACAAAGCCAGCAAGGCAAGCAAGCCAACCAAACTCTTACTCTACATGCATTAGGAAATTGACTCTAAAACTGATACTTCTATTTTTATTTATCCAATACATGCAAACAAATGTTATGCTTTTTCATCCTATATTCCCTCAAGAGCAACATGCCGGTCAATGATTACAAAGATTTTTATCTTGATAACTATTTTTGCAATCATATATCTTGAACTGTTTTATACTTATTAATGTTTGACACAGACTTCAATAACTATTCGCATTGGTCGACGTAAGGTAAAACAGTGAAATGTCGATAACAATTAAAATAAAATAAAACCTGATAACTGTATATGTCTGTGTTTAGCAACATCGAAGAAAACGAAGAAAATTCTAACTTTAAATTTTTTTTTTTTATTAGAATTGTAACATAACAAATGAATGGTATTGGCCTTGTTTTACTTTGATGTACGATAATATATATTGCATTTACCGGCCATCATTTGCATGTACATTTTTACAAAGGGATCCTTGGTTTAATTACAGTAAATAATTTATTTACAAACGAAAAGACAAAAAGGCTGTCTCAAATATCATCTACATTTATGTGACAATGTATTTCCATTTAGCTGGTGCATATTGATTTCTCTGAAGTTTTCTTGTTCGGTATTATGAAACACTAAATGACTGGTTGTGAGAGAAAAGGCAAGTGTGGTACCGAACTTCGTTGACAGAATCTATTCAATTCAATCAAACTTTATGAAACTATTCTATTGGATACTCAGATGGCTCTAAAACGAGTTTATACTGTGCTCTGTTTGCCAAAAAGCTCAAAACAACCTGTTTCAAATATAATAACATCTATTCTATCGCAAACATACACTGGCTAATTTTCTAGCCGACTTGTTATTTTATTTGTATGTGGCACATACTTTATATATGGCGACTTAAAAAGAAAAGTATAAAGAATCATACATTGCCCTTTGATTTCGTGTTCGGCTATATAGATGATGTCAACCTCTGAACAGTTCAAAAGAAAAGTGACTATGCTGATAGCATCTATCTCATTGAAAATGAAATAATGGACACCACAGATACAGAGGTTTCCTTCATAAATTTATTCTTGCACCTGATATTATCCCCAGTTTTTTGTTGGGGTTCATGTTGTTCAGACTTTACTTATCTATGTATATTTTGTATAATTGTTTGTCTGTTCGTCGTCTTCCGTTTTATGCAATGGCGTTGTCAGTTTCACTTCGACTAATGTGTTTTAAATGTCCCCTCGGTATCATCCGCGTCTTTTATTGTATATAATGTTGCCCTTAAAACACCAGAATGTATATTGGTATCGCTAACTTTTTTGTCATACAGTTTTGTAGAGAACAAAAACATATTCTTGACTATCGATCACTATAACTGTTACTGGGCAGAAGACATTAATTCAAAATTCCTATACACGTTTGCTCTTTCGTTTTGCTGACTCATCATAACCTTATGATTTAAATAATGCATATCGTAAAGTTTTTGTTGTCGTATAACATACCGAAGGGTGTCAGGATTGATCAAATGAAAGACCGTATGGAGGTCTTCTTTGGTAATCATGAAAATCATTTTCATGATTTTAGAAGCAAAGAAAAACCGGCATTTTATGCTGTTTATTTATCTAATTAAAAAAAAATTAAATCATCGGTAACTTGTTCATAATTTATTTTACATTTTTTTGCCTGGAAGCACATTTCATTGAAACTTGGTAGCTCCAAAAGAATGGCCTGTCGTTCTGAAAGAAATACTTCCATATAGGTATATAAATACAAGTAATAATGGTATGATACTAAACCCCTAACGGGAGGGATTGTGCTTGATTTTCATATGATGAAGACACAATCTTTCAATCAGTTTAATTGAGGTCTGGAGCTGGCATGTCAGTAACTGCTAGTAGTCCTTTGTTAATGTATGTATCATTGTCATTTTGCTTAGTTCCTTTTGTTACCTATTCTGACATCGGACTGGGACTTTTTTTAAACTGAGTTTTACTGTGCGTATTGTTTTTGTGTGTTTGGTTATACTACATTGACTAGAGGTAGAGGAGAAGGGTTAAGATCTGACAAAACATGTTTAACCCCACCGCATTTTTGCGCCTGTCCCAAGTCAGGAGCCTCTGGCCTTTTTTAGTGTTGTATGTTTTTTTTTTTTTTAATTTTAGCTCATTTATATGTTTCGGAGTTTAGTATGACGTCCATTTTCACTGAACTAGTACACATTTTTGTTTAGGGGCCAGCTGAAGCCTGCCTCATGGTGCGGGATTTTCTCGCTGTGTTGAAGACCCATTGATGGCTTTGGGATGTTTCTGCTCTTTGGTCGGGTTGTTGTCTCTTTGACATATTCCCATTTCCAGCATTGCATTTGCGCCAATTTTTACAAAATCCAATCTTTCATTTGCGCCTCAAGGTTATATATCATGTGCGCCAAAAAAAAAAACTACATTTGCACCATTTCACGGGTAACATATAACGGAAAGGTTTAAATATTCATTGCTATATCGTGAATAAGATTTTTTTAGAGTATTCCCCTTGTGTAACTAAGTGAGTACATACTCATTTCTAGTATAAAACTGAGAGTCACTTACTGACTTAGGTTTAAAATTATATAGTGTTCACATGTTTGATGTTCAATTCTGAGAGACAAACAGACCGTTAGTTTTCTCAATTGAATTACTTCATATTTTTCATGCCTGGGACATTTATAGCCGACTAGGATATAGGATATAGGTTTTCCTCGAGTCATTTTTGAAGGCCGTACAGTTGCTACGGTTGCCTATAATTGCGTTCGTCCTCTTCATTTGAACTTTGATGGATAGTTGTCTCATTAGGAATCATGCCCCATCTTCTTTCTCTTCATATAGAGGAAATAAGTATTTTTTTAAGAGCACACATATAGGTTATCAAATGAACATGAGTACATCCGGACCGTTGCTTACAAGTTGTGTGTCAGAACAAACGTTTGGTATTACTCCAGTGTGTAGTGCTTTCTTTTAGGTTTTACGATCACGTTAACAGTGTTTTATCATTATTATGAAAAGTCTCTTTTTAAGAACGTATCAGTGTAGGGTGCTTTTATTATGGTAATGATGACTGATTTCTGATGAATATGTTTTATTATGCAATAAAAAAATGTGTTTTAAAATTATTATTAAAAGTCTCTTTTTTTTGTACTATTTTCCTGTATTTACCTGTATTATTGGCGCAAATGAAATGTTTTATTTTGGCGTAAATGAAATATGGTTTGTGACGCAAATGAAAGATTTATTTTGGCGCAAATCTTAAATAGTATTTTTTGTTTTAATGTACCTTAATTTATAATATCTGATGCACTTTTCAGAGGTACCAAGATTTGTTGCATGGCTGTATAGACGACGGCCAAATTTGTCAAAGAAAAGAAATTTCTGGTAAAGCATGTGCATGATATTAATTTTTGCAAAAAACATAATCTTATAAGCATAGTTTTACATTAAAATCAAATAGTCATAAGTTTTGCAGTTAATAAAAAAACAATAAATGTAAAAAAAGATAATAAACAATTACAAATTATGTAATTCAGTTCAAAGAAAAGGATTTTATTCTCTTTTCAATGTAATTTTAAACAACAAAGTACCATGCAAGTCGCATATGGCAACTTACTAGAATTTTTAAAAGTATTTAATTTGTGTAGCAAAAAATGATATTATTTTTGTTTATTACAGGCGTAGGAGGTGGATGTGGAAGATAGGACTTGGAGTTTTGGGCATCATTTTACAACCAGAACGTACAATGTTTTCTTGGTTTATTGACTAATTGGCTTGTTCTATATAAATTTTCATCGCGGATTTTGCTTAAGAGTTGAAAATACTTCAATTCTTGTGGAATAAATCTAAAAATTTTATAATGGTAACACCATGAATTCATACGGCCATAATGAAATTAACATAATGAACAAGTTACATGATCGCTCCTGACATTGGCTTAGGGATAACTTTTTACCTAGCAAACAGAAATTTATTATTTGAAGAATGGTTTTGCTGAATTATATCTTGAATAGACTCCCACTGCTGTATTCACATGCCGTCATGAGATATCATTTTATAACTATAGAACCTGGGAGGAATTATGGGTTATCACATTTATTTTGTATCATTTAATTCCCAGGTTCCTTTTATATATGTATGATAAAATATCTTCTTTTATAATATACTTATAAGGCTCTGTTTAAATTGTGTGTTCATGTTTGTCACAAATTGAAATAAAAATCCTTCACTTATTCTAAAGATGGGCTTACACGGTACGATTTTTCAATCGATTTCTATCCGACAAAAAAATCGTACAGCGAGAACAGAACACTACGATTTACCTAGTCGACGGTATCATATCTGATGTGAATTCGGATGGAAAATCGTACCGTGTAAACGCACCATTAGACGATTGATACTTTCCCTGTATAGTCAACGCGCGGTTCGTTTAATCATAGATCTTTGTTCGTCAAAAATTCAGCTATGACGTCATCTTTTTCTTGCTTTCCTCTAAAAAGTAAAATAACAAAAATTTCGAACTCCAAGAAAAAATTAAAAACGGAAAGTCCATTAACAAATGGCAAAATTAAAAGCTCAAACACACCGAACGAATGGAAAACAACTGTCATATTCCTGACTTGGTTAAGGCATTTCCTAAGGTAGACAATGGTGGTTTTATAGCTAGCTTAACCTCTCGGAAAATTTGCTATTGTGACGTCACGAAAAATGAAAAACCAGGTCAGATAGCGCCAAATACAAAGAAAACATATGTTAAGGGGAGGTCATTGATCATTGAAAAAAAAGAAAGATAACGTTTGCCAACATAATTATCACATGGTCTAAAAATCATTTTCAATACGAAGATTTTGCCCTGTTGACAATTGAAAACGTAACTGTCTCGATTAGAGAAATATCGATTCAGAGGTCGAATCTAGTTTTACCCAAGTATATGTCCAATCTGGATAAAACAAATTACTAGTAATTCAGTTATATTTTTAGTTTAGAATACCATAAAGTATAAAATTACTTTTTCTAGACCATTTAAAAATTCACCATGTTAAAAATTCTTAAACTTTCAACAAAATTTTGGAAGCATTGTTTTAAATTAGTTCTTAATCAGTAGTTTCAGAGGAGAAGTTCTTTGAAAAAGTTTATGACGACGATGAACGTCATGTGGCCAGGTGAGCACAAGCACTTGTCTCTGAAAAAATGATTTTATATATACTTTAATATAAAACAAGGTACCTAACTTGTCACATGTTAGTTAAATAGTCATTGTTACCAACAGAAAAACTGTTTTCGATCTTTATCCGTAGTTCACAATTTTTTGCAATTGAACTCTGACTTACTTGGTTCGCTTTTTAAAACCAAATATGACATTTTTATGTTGTATTAGACTAAAACCTCACGTATTGAATAATTTCATATTCATATCAATTTATGATATCAAAATAGAAATATCAATAATTTTACGAGTCTTCTTGAAATTTACCAAAAATATTTGAAAAAAAAAATAAACAACAAATAAACATGATACCAACTGATAAGACGTTGTACATCATTAACTGCAAATTCGACGGTAATGGCTGATCTCGTATACGTGATGATTTCTTTCTGCATACTTTTCAAGATTTGGTCGTCACAGGATAATCCCCAATCGAAAACTCGTTGTTTGGAAAATAATTCTTTTTATTCTCAAGATATAAGAACAGTCCGTGTCCATGGATACATAAACAGATAAAATAAAACGTAAACTTATATAGTTGTACATGTACTCTTGAAACATTACTGTATCCGATGAAAAAATCCAAACAAGATACTCTTAACTGGTACGCAAACTAAAAAATAAAAAAATTCTTTACTTCAATATAGTACTACTTTTAATCCGGATTGATCTTCGTAATGAATAGCCCCCAAAATCCAATGTCGATAAGTTCTCAACAACTCAGACTTATCCGGTACAATGACGGGCTCAAATTTGTAGAAATCAACTGTTTTATAGTCATACAACCAACTTATATAAAAGTAAGGAGATGTTGTATAATTGGAAATTAGACAACTACCCAATCAGTCCAAATGATGTGGTTGTAAAGAACAATAGGTCACCATACGGCCTCCAACAATGAGCAAAACCCATACCGTATAGTAAGTAATATGAAGGCCATACCATGACAGTTGTTGAAACAATTCAACGGAATGATTTATGACAAAAAAATAAACGAAAATCAAATATTGGCAGATAGCAACCAACGACAACCACTGAATTAACGGCTCTTGACTTGGTACAGACCCGTAAAGAATTCTGTGGGGTTAACAAGTTTGTGAGTGCTCAACGTTCCGCTAACCTTTCCATATTATCATACTGATATTCACTATGAATTTCTTTATCACGATTAATTAACAAATTTCTGCCCATTTTTCGATAAAGAAATTATGAGATGTGGCAAAAATAAATAAGGATAAAATTGAGATTGGAAATGGGGAATATGTCAAAGAGACAACAACCCGACCAAAGAGCAGACAACAGCCGAAGGCCACCAATGAGTCTTCAACGCAGCGAGAAAATCCCGCACCCGGAGGTGGTCCTCAGCTGGCCCCTAAATATAATTGTGTACTGGTTCAGTGAAAATGGACGTCACACTAAACTCCCAAACATATAAAGGAACTAAAATTAAAAAAACATACAAGACTAAAAAAGGCCAGAGGCTACTGCTTGGGACATGCGCAAAAATGCGGCGGGGTTAAACATGTTTTGTGAGATCCCGACCCTCCCCTTATACATGTGTACCTCTAGCCAATGTAGAATAAAGAAACACATAGCAGTACGCACAGTAAAACTCAGTTTAAAAGAAGTCCGAGTCCGATGTCAGAGTAGGTGACAAAAGAAACTAAGCAAAATGACAATGATACATAAATTAACAAAGGACTACTAGCAGTTACTGACATGCCAGCTCCAGACCTCAATTAAACTGATTGAAAGATTGGAGTCTGCTAAGGGATAGTTGTAGAGTAATAACATTAACGGTACCAATTAATACTGCACCAGCTGCGCATTTCGACAATAAATGTCTCTTCAGTGATGCTCGGTCAAAATATTTGAAAATCCAAAGCTAATTAAAAAAAAGAAGAGCTAATAACCAAAAATGACAAAAAGTGTAGTAGAGTAAAGTATTCCTTATACACATTCTCCATAAAGTTACCAATGGGAGAAATAAGACGTTACCAGGAGGTTAACCCGAATAATTCAGTCGTTATATTCCACTGCTCTACGATGGCTACATTAACGCCTGAAGGCCTAGTCAATGAAAAATCGTCAAAAAATCATTCGGAATTAGCTCGGGATTTACCTATCTCGATAACATTTAGCTATTAGATGATTGGCTCTCTCTCACAGAGAGCACCAATCAAAATCCTGGATTCGTGACGTTTTTATCGTATAAAGAGTTCAGGCCCTCGCGAGTGGGAGAGTCGATCACGGAGAGGGACTGAATTATTCGGGTTACCAGGAGGTAAACAAACACTCATTTGTAAAAGAAGGTAAACAACAAAATAGTTAAAAAGACGAAAAGTAAACAAGTCCATAATATATTGTTCATAAAACGAGTCCAAATTAAAACCATGGAAACGATTAGCAGTTTCTGTTGCATTACTGTCATCCGTTGCATTGTTAATAACAAGTAAAAATAAAAATAAGAAGATGTGGTATAATTGCCAATGAGACAACATACAAACAGAGACCAAATGACATAGACGTTAACATTTATAGGTCACCGTGCAGCCTTCAACAATGTGCAAAACCCATACCATATAGTCAGCTATGAAATGCCCCGAAATGACAAATGTGATACAATTCAAACGAGAAAACTAACGGCCTGATTTATGTACAAAACAATGAACGAAAAACAAATATGATATACAGCAACAAACGACAACCACTGAATTACAGACCTCTGACTAGGGACAGGCACAAACAGAATGTGGCGGGGGTAATCATGTTTGCGGGCGTCCAACTCTCTTCCTAACCTGGGACAGTGGTGTAACAACACAACATATGAACAAACTATAAAAATCAGTTGAAAAGGGCTTAACTCATCAGATCGATACAAAGCAGAAAAACAAGTAACAAAACACAGACAGGACGTGTCAGGGTATGTTACATGTTACATCCCCACAACAAAAAAGACACTAAGTACAGATCTGAGGGAACTCGCAGTTACAGACAGCTCGTTCAAAGTCAATATCAACCAATAAAAAATCATGTATCTAAGGCTAAAATTTCAATAAATACACATCCAACATCAAATGAATTTAGGGTAAAGATGTCATTTACAGAAAAACATGAGAATGCTTGAAAAACTCTGGTTTCAGCAGCAAATAACGCTTACCCTGTTTACGCACCCAGTCTCGCTCCTTTTAAAGTTTATCCGATTCCCTAATTTTTCACTTGTTACCTTGATTTTTATCTCCTACATCGATTCATGAGATTTGAACATCGGTAAACAACTGTTGCCTAAATTCAAATAGAACTCATGATGGAAGAAATGAAGATCGAAGTGGCAAGGGTGACACAAAGTTTCCGTTAAACAAAGTTTCGATCCCGAAACCCGTGATCCTGATAGAAATACACAAGTTACTGAATGTCGTATTTTAAAACTGAGAAACTTATTCTACATTTGTGTGAGCTACTGGATTGTTGCTACTTATCAAGCTAACTTCTCTGCAGAATGCATGTGGTGAGTATGTTGGTACTGATCTATCACTTTAAATGTACGTCATAAACACTGGAAATTCAACCAATGACGTGAATTTGTTTTCATTCTCGGTTACGAACAATGAAAATTACCCACAGTCCTCTATATTCTGATACGGTCAATTGCATATGTTCTTTGTTCGTTGAGTTAAGAATAATATAAAATAGTTGACTATTTACACGGTTTTGTATGTCTTTTGAGAATTGTGAGCGTTGTACTGGTAACATTGTCCTTTGGTACTACCTGTTTACTTAACAAACAAACATTTCTGCACGTTGACATGTCAATCTACGTGTTCTTAACCTATGACAAGTATATACTGTAACATATATACATGTTAAATATTACTGTAGTTATAAAAGTTAATTTTGAAGAAATTTATTGATGTATAAATTGTATGATTTATTTTATAAAACATGTCATGCTATATTCAAGTAAAGAACAGCACCACTT